CTTCAACGGAAGCAGGGTTTCACCCTTTGTGTTTTTCAGCCTCGTGTGTGCGCCAAGGGAACAGTTTAACTCTTAGGAAGTTTGTGTATTTGCAATATTTTGATTTTCCTTCCTTTTGCCTACAGAGACCCTCTGATGTAGTTACTGCTGGTAACTAACGCAGCCCAGTTCTATAGTCAGATGCGCACACACAGCACTGGTAAAGTTCTGAGATTTGTAAAATTTATCTTTAATACCTTTCGCGTGATTGGTTAGAAGCGTGATAAAGTTTTATTGGGGCTTGCACCGGATGAGCTGCATTACTAGCTTGTGGCTAGAGCAGCTATTCCAAAGTTATGCCTGTAAAAGCTTTATCCCACCCCATCCCCTACTCTGCTGGTAAATATGCATGCTGTTCCTGCCGGAATGGATTGCATCTGCCTTGCCCTAGATGATCAAACCTTGTCCAGAAGAGTTGATGGCCTTGATTCTGCATTCTGTATACACCCGTGGCCGCCTCCATTGAATTTGCTGGGAGTTTTGGGTGTGAGAGGAATGCAGGTTTTGGCCTCGTTGTTGCTGCTGGTCGACAAGTAAGAAGCTATTGAGAGGGAAAAGGGCCATGTTGTTTGGGTATTTATGGGTAGGGTAGAGGATCAGCGTTTTCTGTGTTATAGTGGACCACATTTAATAGAGTATGGCTTGAAAATCCCATTGGTAATTGGGGAATTTTACTTAATGAATGGAGAGGAGAGGAAGGGGCTGAGGCTGATTTCTGCAGAAATCAAAGTTGGGTGTGGTTTTTTTGTTTGGCTCACACATCATATTTCAACTACCAATCTGGTTGCAAAAGGTGAAGCAATGCCATGATCTCATCTGAGCCTGCAAATAGACCTTGGTAGTGTACCTGTTGCTGCTTGGACCGGAGCAGCATCTTCACTTAATTTCACTGCTGCTGTTTGGGGAAACTCTGAGGTCAGGGCTGCTTCTGCTTGGGAAAATTCTGAGTGGCACTGGAGGTAGGAACTGAGGCGGCTCACAGAAGAAGAGTCTTCAAAAATTGGAGGCTGCTTGAGGGGTAGAGCTGCAGAGAGGCTGGGAGAATATGTAGATAGCAGGTAGCAGCCCCTCAAATTGAAGAGGGGTTGTGATCAAACTCTCCTTCCCCTGGGATGGGAAACAATGTGGCACCAAGTGGAATTTTTAGAGCAGGCTAAAAACCTCTAGGGACTGCTCTATTGGCTAAGGGTAGCTAGGATGCAGGTGGCATAGAGTTGGCTACATTGGCTTTATGCCTTTTGGGGATTTGTCTAAACCAGGGGAATTCTCGGCTGCCGATCTTGCTTACTTTTTGAGTTGTTGCACATGGCCACATGCACTTTAGTTCACACATCATCCTTAAATGTTCATCAGAAATCTTCATTCCATAGCTAAGCCTCCTCACTATGTTAAAGAACGAGATCAACTGGAAATCTTGTCATTTTCACAGAATTGTTAAAGGCTCTTGTCAACTTGAATCTTCTTTAAAAACTGACTTGTTAAAAAAAAAATCATCTTTGAGAGAGAGAGAGAGAGACCCTGGGATGTCTTGATTTAAAAAATTATTAAACGTGTTGGCAACAGTAAGTTTTTCAGCTAACTCTCACGATTTTATGGTGAGCCTCAGGATATTGGATGGCTTTCTTAAAGCCCCAACTCCTGGAGTCAGTTAATTATATGAGAATATCAGCTTTCATGTTAAATAACCTCGCCCCCTCCTTCCCTCCAGCTGCTAGCTCTCATGGGGGTGGAGAAAAGCTTGAAAATGTGAAATTTAAAGGCTCCAGTACCAGAAGGCAAATAAAAAGAACCTGAATTGTAGTCGTTTTAAAATCTCATGATTTTTAAACCAGTCTCAGGAATTTTGAATGCTTGGGCTTGGCAATACTATAAGAAGGGTCTTTGGGCACACTCACAAGCAATGCCACTAAGCCACCCTACTGCTCCGAGTCCTGCTCCTTTCTCTGTGTGCATCTAGGCATGTGCTTGCAGCCTGTTCGTTCTCCGTTTCTCTCTGCTCTGCTGCTGCTAAATGCTCTTTCAGGGTCTGGGGTAGGGTGTATAGTCAGTGGCCTCTATCTAGCTTCGTGCTGTCAAATGAACTAAGTAAACAAACTGGGGGAGGAGGGGAGACATATTCTCCCCCCCCCCCCCCAAACCTCATTCAGAGGACTTTTGCAGGTAATATAGGTACAAGATTGACAATCGAAGCTTTCTTCTGACAATTTGATGTTTTAGAGATGTTTCAAGTACTCTGGCTGCTCTAGAATGCCCCATCCCAGTTGTGTTTTTTTGTTTTGTTTTAAGTATAGGCGCTTTCTCTCATGTGGTTGTGTGTAAATCCCAGACCGACATCAGGTGAAATGAGCTGGCACAGGGGAAACAGTGGAATTGATTTTATGCAGAGTGGTGTTAAATACATAAAGTAAGCAAACTAGAAACAGAAAAATATTTTTCCCTATAATTATACAGTAATAATCTTGGAGATTACTTGTAACCATAATAGGATTTTTTAAAAATAAATCAGACAATTGTTTTTTATGGACAGTGTCTATTTACGATAGTGACACTATCCACATTACAGAAGTGTTGTAAGCAAATCAATGCTTTTAGCAATATTATCACATTAAAATATTAACAATGTTAATGTTAAAAATCCACTTGTACTGTTCTGGGTTTAATCTAGGCCCTGGTAATGTCAATGGGAGTTTAGCTATGAACCCCGGTGGGGTTCATTTACTTCCTACATTTATCCCAGCTTTGGAAGTGAAAATCAGTTAAATCAGTTGCACTTTTGGGTTCTTCATTATTGGGTTTCATGTATTGGAGGGGAAGGTTTGGCTGCTGAAAAGCCTGGAGAAAGGGCTATGGATTTAAATAAAGTGACAGTCTCTCATTCTATTTTTTTTCAATGCTAGAAACATTGAACTCAGAGTAATTTTACACATGTCTAAATCATAGAGGCTGGTGTTGACCTTGTGTCAGTCTTGCACAGAAGAGGCAACGCTCTGAACAAGGTAATGAGGACACTGATGTGCCTTAAACTTCCAGATTAGGGTGATCCTTGTTAGACAGAATACATTGGGCTAATCTGCTGCTGCTTGGATAGCTTGCTGTCCTGAAAGGAGGTTCTGGTTTAATAATCCTTCCTTTATGCCTCACCTGCACTACACCCTGTTTTCTAAACTTAACACAGAATGAGGTATGGCCTCTAAACTAATACATAGACGTTGTACAAATAATTTTGATTCCCATTTTCTGGCTTATCGCTGTAGAGTGCATTCCCTGCAATCTACTGTAAGCGTGTGTCTTTCAGATGAGAGATGGAAAAACCACAATCCTGCTCTGAGTTGGACACTGGCCAGCTTGTGCTTAAGTCTATACCGATGCAGCAAGGCAGTTAAGCACCTGCTTAACTTTAAGATCTGGTGAATCAGAGCCTGTCAGGGCTTGTCTTCGCTGTAGTAGTTAGCTGGAGTTAGTACACTTGTGTTATTGCTAGGGATGCCACCTCTGAGATGCACAAACCCAGGACATACCTATTAATGCCAGAGATCTGACTTCCCCACCATTATGCCAGGGCACAGGACAAACCTGCAGGGTCTGCCCCTGCCACCCAGCGCTGGGGGAGGGACACGTGCGTCCCAAAGCCAAGCCCCTCACTTCCCCACAAGCTGGGCTCCCAAGCTCCAGCTCCCGTTGCTGGTCGGCAGAGGCAGGCCGGCCCAGGGGCAGGCCGACGCTGCAGCACCCCAGGTTTCCTGCTGCGGCCACCATCACTCGCTCAGCCTGCTAGTCTGCCCCCGCCCGGAGCCACCCCTCATTGGTGCGCTGTGCCATCTGTCTGTAGCGCAGGTGTGGCCCCCGTCTCTGAGCAGGCTCAGAGTGGTGTATTATTGTACAGCTGTTTAAACACCCACAACCTGGGAGTTTGAATATCCTGAGAAGACTTGCAGATTTCCTGGGACAGCTGCCTCAAAAAGCGATGATCCTGGGAAAACCTGGACAGGTGGTAAGCCTCATTACTGCATGTGAGCTAACCCAGCTCTAGTGAGAGCAGCCACGCTGCAAAGCAACCCTGGAGTTACAGAATGATTTGGATTAGCTGTTGCCGCCCCACTGAATTACCAGCTCGAGCACCAGCATCACTCGAGCTTCAAGCCACGCTCCCCAGCCTCCGACGGGCCAGCTAGCTCGACCTTTAAGCAGCACTTAACTCGGGTTAGAGATTTTTGTGGGCATGTGTTGTGTTCGGTTTAACACATGAGTGATAACTCAGATTAACCGGGCTGTGAAAGCACACCCTCAGGGTATGTCCACACTTCGAGCTGGGGGTTGATTCCCAACTCAACATATCTGCACTTGCTCTGTTTGAGCTAGCATGCTAAAAAGACCGCGTAGTCATGCGGGCGTGGGCAGCGCAAGGGGCTAGCCACCCGAAGTATGTTTTCGTCCGAGGCTGTAGGCATGTACTCACGACAGCTAGCCTTTCTTGCCACTTGCACCGCTGCGACTGCACTCTATTTTTAATGCGCTAGCTTGGTCAGAGCTCGTGTGGGCATATCTCCTCAAGTGGGGAATCACACCCCCAGCTTGACGTTTAAATGTATCCTTAGACTTGAATTTGTCCTCATGTGCTTGGTTCACATTTCTTCCCCTTCCCACTCTTGTCTGGTTGGCTGCGGCCATCTAACCAACCAGCGGTAGCTGCATTTCAGGGATCCTTTCCGTATATGGACACTGATCCTAGAAACCAGGATGAGAGTGTCTGTGACTCTACACATGTGAGTTGTCCTGTTCGTGCTACTTGCATGCGCAAGTGTTTCCAGGAGCTGGGCCGTAATCTGTAAAGCATTGGGGATCCTTCAGGACAGAGCTAGCTATAGTAACATAAATTATTGCTATCTTTAAATTCAATTATGCTTGATTCAACAACACCGAAAAAGCATAAACTTTCCTTTCCCTCTTATCCTCATTTTCAGCATCAAACAGAGTTCCCAGTCACCTGATGAAGCTGAAGATAAGGAGAAGGACCAGCGCACGGTAACAGTCAATCCTTCTCACATGGGAAAGGCATTCAAGGTCATGAATGAATTACGGAGGTACTTTTTCCATGTAACATGCATCATCTTTGGTTTATCGGACACATGCTGATCAGAACAGAAGGTCATTTGGGGCACTTTAAAAAATAATATTCTGTGTATTTGCTTCCACACAAAAGGAGGTCCCGCAACAGGGTGTTAGCAAAACAGTAGGAAGAGGCAGCCAAAGTGTAGACACTATAGAGCACTGCTATTCCCACCCACACACCTGTCTACCTCTTTGTCAAAAAGAAGCCGGCTGTGTCTCAAAAAACATTTTCAGAGCCATATCTGCCATTTACAAACAATAATTGGTTTAAAGTTTCCTGCTACTTACAGCAAATCCACACACAAACTATATTTTCAACAGTGCAAACGGCTTGAAGACCAATAATAGAACATTACAGATACGAGGACACCTACACGTAATTACAGAGCAAGGATTGCTAAAGTAGAATTCTCATTCTCTTTGACTCACTGTCACTCAATCTCCGCTTGGCACTGCAAAGTTTAAAAAAAAAAATCACACCACCCACAAGCCAATTTAAAAACTTCACACTGCTCAAAGAACTCCAGCACGTCTTCAATCAAGTGTGTGTATGTGTGGGGGAGAGGAGAATTGTTACTTTAAATGGACTTTAAAAAAAAAATCTAGTTCTTTAAAAGATGCCTATAGGTGTGTCAGTCATTTAGTGGCAGTGGATGACATTTAGCTTGTTTCTGGAATCTGCCATCTTCCCTTGAAGCAGGTTGAAATTCAGTGAGCATTTGACTTTAATTTATATGCGACTTATTTGAGTCCTTAGCCTGCCAAATGGTATCTTTGGTTTGTGACACTATTATTCTGTTTTATTTATTTAATGTGAAAAATGTGTATGTCACACACACTCTCTCTCTCTCTCTCTCTCTCTTCCCTCCCCTCTGCCCCTCCCTTTGAGGGGTTGAATAGGTTGACACTTCTAAAATATGCATTCTCCAATAAGGAGAAGGACTGGAATCCTCTCCCTCTGTGGCAGATACCACTATGCTTGGGCTGGGGGATAGCTCAGTGGTTTGAGTATTGGCCTGCTAAACCCAGGGTTGAGAGTTCAATCCTTGAGGGGGCCACTTAGGGATCTGGGGCAAAATCAGCACTTGGTCCTGCTAGTGAAGGCAGGGGGCTGGACTCGATGACCTTTCAGGGTCCCTTCTAGTTCTATGAGATAGGTATATCTCCAGATTTCTCTGTGTTATAAAAATATATATATATATGAAGTATCCTTCCCGTCTCTCAATTCTGTGATGCTGAGTGCGTTTCCTTTTCAGTCTCCCTCTGCTGGCACAGGGATCAGGAGACCTGAATGCAGGTGCTTGTGCAGCAGAGCACCAGGCTGCCGCGGTTATGTTGAAAATCCAGTATTGTATTCCTTTAATTGAAGTGTGCTGGAGGCCCTAGCAGTGCTGCTCTCTTGGGTTCCTTGGGTTTTGCTAGATCCTGTATGTTACTCAGCTGACTGTAGAAGGTTAGATCTGCCCTGAAGCACCTGCTTTTCAGACTGCATCTTTGCATGCTCCTTAGCATTGCTTTCTCTCAGCTCTTGCTGCTGTTCTGGAGTCTGCAATCCTGATGATTGTATGGTGCACTGCTTTGAACCAGCACTCCGTAATACTGTCAGACAGCCTGTGGAAATGGTTACCTTGAATAACAGTGATTTAATTCCTATTTATCTAGTAATCCCTTACAGAAAGTCTAGATTTAAACTCTCTGAGGGGTAGTGAGACCTCTAACCTATTTGCGACGGGTTAGTTGCTTGGCACATCCACCTTCGAAATGGAAATGGAAATCTCATTTGCATGAAATGCACTTTTTAGGTGATAGGATCCCAGAGAGGGACTAAACTGGGTTCCTTCCTGATAGACTGAAGTGAATGATCTCCAAAGCCTGCATTGTGTATTGCTCACATAAAAGCTCCCGTTACCATCACCATTCCATCAAAGCTGGCATAAATATGGAACACGCAGTCTCTTATCTGTTTCTAGGTGTTGTCTTTCCTGCATGTTTCCAGCTCAATCTTCAGTGTTTTGGGAGTCGCTTTATTAGGTATCACAAAATGCGGGGGACGTACCTAGTCTGTTAGAAGGCTAAGTGTGTTTTTTGTTTGATATGGGGTTTTCTAAAGCAAAAGCACAATAAGCCGTATAGAAGAGAAAGTGACATTTTGGATTTGTAGACCGATCTTTTTTCCTAGTGTGACCCCTTCAATGAGCACCCTTATTCTGCGTTTAGATGCTCAAGTAGGGACCAGGTATTTTATGATAATACTGAGCACTTACGATATACAAACCTCAATTAACAAATCCTCAAAGGAGAGAACTGTGGTGGAGATAAAAATGGGCACAGATTCATGAAAAACTTACCCAAAGCCACACAGTGAGTGAGTGGCAGAACTGGGGCTAGAACCTGGAAGTTTTTGGACTCCCAACCCCATGCTGACTTGTGCATTAAACTCAGTCAAGGTGAATAGCAGACTCCAGTGAATGAGTGCACTTTGTGGTGATGCTCGTGAGAATAACGTGAGGAACCCTTTGTGTGCTATTCGGACCTGAGGAACCTGCTTTGTTGTTCATGTGCTGTAGCATCAAACCTTCTCTTTCTACCAGCCCTGTTGTGTCATGTGGGAAAGGAAGGAAAACTCTCCCTTTTTATCCCACCTCCCTCTCAAGGCTGTGAAGAGATTAAAGCTGCAGCATCCCCTACTGGTGCTACGTCCTTGCTTTATGGGGAAAAGTGGGTGGCAGATCAATGTAGTGGCAGAGCTGCTAGGCGGCTCCTTTGTCCCTTTCCTAGGCCATTCTATGGGGGGAGATGGAGGCAATCTGAACTTTGGGGTTCAGAACCCTGTGGCCAGCCTCCCAAATCCTTCCTTTTGTGGAACAGAATGTGTCCAGTTCTATTTCAGGCAGGGATCTCTGCCGCTTTGGATGGGAGCAGGATATGCTCCATAAAGAAAAGTTGACAGAGGCTGGTTGTCTTTGTGTTTCAACCTTCCACTGAGACTCCAGCAGTTGTCAGGTCTTGCTGGATGATTCAGGTCACTTGTTTGTGACGTAGGAACTCTGCTCATTTTCCCCAAGGGTATTTACAAAGGTCCCTTTGCATGGCCAGATGTTCTGAAACCATGTTGTCTTCTCTGGTGTTTTCCAGCAAGCGGCTCCTCTGTGACGTGGTGATTGTTGCCGAAGCCATTGAGATGGAAGCCCATCGCGTTGTCCTAGCAGCCTGCAGCCCCTATTTTTGTGCAATGTTTACAGGTACTTTTCTGTCTCCAAACAAAGTTCTGTGCTTGAGTGTGCCCTGCAGATTCCAAGACACACACTGTCATGTCTTCACGATAGACCTGCTGCAGATGGGGTGGGCTCGGGGCTGTATGGAGGTCTTTTCCTGGAAAAGAAGAAATGTATTGAAGTCCCTAGCTGCTTATACCAATGAATGTGCTTGAAAAATCTCTTGGCTAAATCCCCCTTGGACAGGGGACCGTGTCTTGTGCAGGTTTGAGGACACTGGCAGCACTTGGTAAAAATTGGATGCTACCGTGTGTGTCCCTCAGGTCAGAGATCTCTGCAGTGTGGGACACAGAAGGAATTGTATGTGGGTTGGCAGATAGCTTTTGAAGTGAGATGTTTGACTTTTCTAGACCAGAATTTAGGGTGTTAAAGTATGTTTTTTATTTATTTATATCAAACATTTATACAGTGCTATAAATTTGCATGGTACATCGCACGCACGTCCTCCCACAAAAGTCCCTGTCTCGGAGCTTACAGTCCAAAGGCCTTGTCCTACAAACACTTGAACACAAGAGATGGAGATGTTCCGAAGTGTTCGGCATTGGTTTAATTCTGCTCCCGCTGAAGCGAATGGTAGAAGTCTTGACTCCAATGGCAGTACTCAGACCAAGGCTTTGGAAACCCTGTCCGTGATTATAGGATTATAATTCAAAGTGATCATCAAACTGGAGAAATGGTCTGAAGTAGCTAAGATGAAATTCAATAAGGACAAATGCGAAGTACTCCACTTAGGAAGGAACAATCAGTTGCGCACACATACAAAATGGGAAATGACTGCCTAGGAGGGAGTACTGCAGAAAGGGATCTGGGGGGTCATTGTGGACCACAAGCTAAATATAAGTCAACAGTGTAACACTGTTGCAAAAAAAGCCAACATCATTCTGGGATGTATATAGCAGGAGTGTTGTAAGCAAAACACGAGAAGTAATTCTTCTGCTCTACTCCGCGCTGATTAGGCCTCAGCTGGAGCGTTCTGTCCAGTTCTGGGCGCCACATTTCAGGAAGGGTGTGGACAAATTGGAGGAAGTCCAGAGAAGAGCAACAAAAATGATTAAAGGTCTAAAAAACATGACCTGTGAGGGAAGATTGAAAAATTGGGTTTGCTTAGTTTGGAGAAGAGGAGACTGAGAGGGGACATAGTAACAGTTTTCAAGTACGCAAAAGGTTGTTACAAGGAGGGTGAAAAATTGTTCTCGTTAACCTCTGAGGATAGGACAAGAAGCAATGGGCTTAAATTGCAGCAAGGGAGGTTTAGGTTGGACGTTAGGAAAAACTTCCTAACTGTCAGGGTGGTTAAGCACTGGAATAAATTTCCTAGGGAGGTTGTGGAATCTCCATCACTGGAGATTTTTAAGAGTAGGTTGGGCAAACACCTGTCAGGGATGGTCTAGATAATACTTAGTCCTGCCACGAGTGCAGGGGACGGGACTAGATGACCTTTTCAGGTCCCTTCCAGTTCTATGATTCTATGTAAGCAAAATTACATGCACGCTTCAGCGTTGGCAAGATTAGGTATTGTGTTAAGGCAAAAAGGTCAAGAGCGGAAAAAGTCTGAGGACAGGGATGGAATATTTCCACAACACCTAACTCAACTGAAGACTCAGCCTGTTAGCTCAGCTGGAAGACACCTGCTCTGCAGTTCCCTCTCTGTTCCCAAGCCCCTTGGCCATGCATATTGAATTTCCATTGGCAAATCTTTGTTCCCACCTGACAAATCATCTCTGTGCCTCCAACAGATCAGTTATATCCCAAACAATTCTTCCCCTCTTCAAATAATTCCAATCCGTACTGCCACCCCACCCAACTCTACCTCTTTGCAGGGCTCTGCAGCTGCTGACTCTCCTCTTGTTGCTGTCCTGAGTACATAGGAGACCTTTAACTTCCCCCTCCACCCGGGCCATCTGCTCTTTGCTCCTCTTCTTAAAGGAGCAGCTACCAGGAGGCCACATTGTTCCCTCACTCGCCTTCCCTTCTTGAAAAAGAACCAACAATCCCAAATACCCAGTAATCAAACAAATTGGATTTTAAGGTCCTCTGAACGAGTTTTGTGATAGCTTGACTTCAGCCCAATGCGTTATGTGGGAAACCCAGTTTTGGGAACGTTCTGTGATGCTCCTTGATTTGTGGTCACCAAAGTGTTGGAGGAGGGTCAAAAGAGAGCTGGGAGCTACTGTTTTGTGTCTCTACATGGATGCTCCCCCCCCCCCCCTTTTAAAAGGGGCTTAAATTGGGCCTCTTTCTGTCAGCTTTATTGGAAGAATAATATGATATGCAAACTAGACACAATCAACTCCGGTTTGAATAAGGACTGGGAATGGCTGAGCCATTACAAACATTGATTCTATCTCCCCTTGTAAGTATGCTCACACTTCTTATCAAACTGTACTGGGCTATCTTGATTATCACTTCAAAAGTTTTTTTTTTTTTCTTTTCTTTAAAATTTTTTTTTTTTTTTTTTTCTTTAATTTATTGGCCCTCAAGGGGTGGAAAAAACACCTC